AGGTTCAAAAGTGGTATGGTCACATGTCTCTCTAGCACCAACTACTCCTTGGGCTTATGGGACAAAGGAGGCTGTTTGCAAGTCATCGAGTTAATCACCAAACCATTAGGCTTCCAAGACACCAGTAATGGCTGTCATTAGCACATTTAGAATTATAATCCGATTCACACCTTATATTTCAAACTTCACAACATACAAGAATGTTACATGCATAAAATAGGATATCGAGATTCAGCAGATTGTAACCTTAAAATTGACGGTATTTTATTTAAAGAATCTTCAAATTGTGCATATTCGTATTCACAAGCCAATTGTCATAAAGCACGCGGGGGACCATCATAAGGAGAACCATATATGTGTAGACCGAACTTGCTTACAAAAAGCCTACATTTTCTCAAGGATCAACTGTTTGAGACAACATGTCCCAGAAAGGGTACTGGTGAGGCTTCATGCTTCCCCAGTACCAGGAATTTATCATCTAAGACTCCCAGCTCCTTTTGAGACTTAATATCAAATGTACCTCAGTACCAAAGCTGACCTCAGTATCTTCTAAGAGTGATCGCAGTGGCAGAGATCATCAGGATGCAGCAAGAAAGACATCAGTAGGTTCTCTGCCATTATTGCAACAGCTCCTCAGGTACTGGAAATAGACTACTAGACCAGTAGCATCAAATCAAGCAATGTTCTCGGTGTTGATGCCTTCCTCTACGGAGCCCTCTGTGGTTTTGACCCAGATCCATTTGGTACCTCAGGACTTCAGAGTCTTGAAACTTGCTTGTTTCCATTAATTTGGCATCACCTTTATTTGTGTATCAAAAGTTTGTCAGTACTGGAATCTGCTGAGTCACTCACACTGTACCCTTCTCTGTTATAAGCTAGCTCTTCAGTACTTCCAAAAGGAGATACAGCCAGTCCCCGGGTTACGCGGATCCGACTTATGTCGGATCCGTACTTACGAACGGGGCTTTTCTCGCCCCGGAGGATGCGGGCGGCGGGGCCGCCCAGACGCGCCGCGGTCCCGCCGCCCGGGTGCTGGAACACATGACCTATGAGGAGAGGCTGATGGATTTGAGTTTGTTTAGTTTGCAGAAGAGAAGAGAAGAGTGAAGGGGGATTTGATAGCAGCCTTCAACTTCCTTAAGGGAGGTTCCAAAGAGGATGGAGAAAGGCTGTTCTCAGTAGTGATGGATGGCAGAACAAGGAGCAATGGTCTCAAGTTGCAGTGGGGGAGGAGTAGATTGGAGATTAGGAAAAACTATTTTACAAGGAGGGTGGTGAAATACTGGAATGGGTTACTTAGGGATGTGGTTGAATCGCCATCCCTAGAGGTTTTGAAGTCTCAGCTTGGCAAAGCCAACGTTGGGTTGATTTAGTTGGGATTGGTCCTGCCTTGGGCATGGGGCTGGACTTGATGAGATCTCTTCCAGCCCTTTGATTCTATGATTAATGTCCAGTTTTGGGCACCGCACTTTATGAAAGATATGAATAAATTAGAGAGTCACCATAACAGAGCATAAGAAAGGCAAGAGATTTAGGGTACTAAAAAGATCCACAGCAAAGAGTCTCAGAGCCTGGGTTTAATGGATTTTTTGGCTCACACCACAGGACTGAAAGTAGCAATGCAGACATTTGGGCTAAGCTCCAACACTCTTGCACCTTGCCAGGTTTCAGAATCCAGGCTCCAGCCCAAGCTGCTACACTGCCCTATTTAGACCTGCAGCACAAGCGTCCAGATTCAGCTGCTGTTGAAACTGATCAGCGGCTGATTCCAGGAAGCCCGGGGCAGAGAAACTCTGCCTCTGGCTTCCTGTAGTCAGCCACTGGTCAATTTCAGCAGTGGCTGAATCTGGACGCCAGTTCCGACTTACGTACAAATTCAACTTAAGAACAAACCTACAGTCCCTATCTTGTAGGTAACCCGGGGACTGCCTGTATGAGCATTATCACTACCAGTGTTCCCTCTAAGCTGCTTGGCAGCACCACTTCACAGCTGATTAATCAGCCCCTTTCCAGTCAGTCAGCTCTGTGCATGAAACCCTGAGCCTCTGACTGGGTGGGGCTGATTAATCACCTGTGAAGCTGTACTGCCATGCATCTTAGAGGGAACACTGATCACTACCATTGCATGCCCTTCCTCAGAACTGTGCTGAGGAGAACATCTCTGACTTTCAGATCTCAGCATAGGGATCGCTTACTTTACCAACCTAGAGCCATCTCTCCTGGATCTAGGAACCTCTCTCAGGCAATCTCTTGCTCTCCCTCATCCTGCCAGATATAAGCAGTACTGGGGCAGTCCCTGGTATTCTTATGGTTCCCCTCAATGGCTGTATTGGGATCCATGAGCTGCCTGTTAACAGTAGTTTTCAGGAGCTCCCAGCTACCTCTGTGAGGACCACCACTGCCAACTGTCTCTTGTTCTTTCTGTCCTTTCTCAACAACTTTAACCCCAGGAAGAGTCTGTTGAGAAGCAAAAGGCAAGAGCTGGTGAGGAGGTGACACCAAAAACTGATACTTCTCTGGCTGAGTGTCCCCTCCCTCCACAAACACCTGCTTTCAGACAGTTTCAAGAACTTATAAAGAAGGTGTTGAATCACTTCAGACCCCCAGAGGATGTCCAGAATCTCAGCATAAACTTTTAGACATTCTCTGCATGATAACTTCTGGTTGAGTGGCCTTGCTGGTGGATGAGAACTTACTTGAATGATACCATCTTACTTGAACCTGCCAAAATTATCTGACAGACTCCAGCCTTCATCTCGCCTGCATGTGAAAGAGCTGACAAAACATTACGTTCTAGTGAAAAATTCCAAATTTTTGTGTTTATGCCTTTTTCTTAATTTTTTTTGGTGGTTGATGCTGTGAATGAGTACAGCAGACATCCTTCCACATTGACGTACTATGATGAGGAAGGACCAAAAATACACACATTTTTGGTTACAAGACTACTCCTCCATCATGCTACCATAAAAGCTCCTAATGCTGAAGTGTAATTACATCAACTATAGCAAATATAATTTATTGAATATTTTTCCGCTTGGTACCTCAAAAATTGACTAGTGGAAGATGATCATCACAAAGGGTCAGCTCCTAACAAAGACCTTGTTACAGGCCACCTAGATGCAGAAAAAACAAAAAGGCATCCTTTAAAAAGCGGGAGTTAAATGCTGGTGAGGAAAATAGCATAAATTTTGGCAAAGTGTAAAAATATAGTTAGGAAGGCCAAAAAAGGAATGTGAAGAACACTGTCAAAGACTCATAGTAAAATATTTTACTATGTGAGAAGCAGGAAGTCTAGTAAATAACCAGCAGGGTCACTGGATGATCAAGGTTGCTAAAGGAGCACTCAAGGACAATGAGGCTATTGTGGAAAAACTACATTGAATTCTTCGAATCAGTCTTCACAGCTGAGGATGTAAGGGAATTCCCAGACCTGAGCTATTCTTTTTAGGTGACATGTTGAGGAACTGTCCCAGATTAAAATGTCAGTAGGGAAGATTTTGAAACAAATTGGTAAACAGACTAAACAGTAATAAGTCATCAGGACCAGATGCTATTCACCCAAAAGTTCTGAAGGAACTCGTATGTGAAATTACAAACTACAATTAGTAATTCTGTAACCTGTCATGTAAATCAGCTTGTATACCAAAAGAGTTATGGATAGCAAATGTGATGCCATTTTTAAAAATTGTACTCTAGTAGTGATCCCAGCAATTACAGGCTTCTGAGTTTGACTTCAGTACTGGGCAAACTGGTAACAACTGTGGTAAAGATCAGAATTGTCAGACACACAGATGAACATAATTTGTTGAGGTAGGGTCCACATGGTTTTTATAAATGGAAATCATGTATCACAAATCTACTAGAATTCTTTGGTGGGGGGGTCAACAAGCATGTAGAAAAGGGATATTCAGTGGAGATAGAGAATTTATATTTTCAGAAAGTCTTTGACAAAATCCCTCACCAAATTCTCTAAAGCAAAGTAAGCAGTCACGAGATAAATGGGAAAGTCCTTTTAGAGATTGATAACTGGTTAAAAGAAGGAAACAAAGGGTAGGAATAAATTGTCAGCTCTCAGAATGGAGAGAGGTAAATAGTGCTGACCCCCCAAGGATCTGGAACTAGACCTATTAAATGTAATCATAAATGATCTGGAAAAAGAGGTAAACAGTGAGGTGGCAAAATAGGCAGATGATACAAAACTACTCAAGAAACGTCTTGTAGGTAACCCGGGGACTGCCTGTATGAGCATTATCACTACTCAAGAAACTAAGTCCCAGGCAGACTGCAAAGAGCTACAAAAGCATCTCAGAAAACTTGAGTGGTGAGGCATCAAAATGGCAGATGAAATTCAAGGTTGATGAATGCAAAGTAATATATATTGTAAAACATAAAGCTAACTATTCATATAAAATGATGTCTAAATCAGCTGTTGCCACTCGAGAGAAATCTTGGAGTTACTGAGAATAGTTCTCTGAAAACATCCATTCAGTTCACAGTGGCAGTCAAAAAAGCAAACCGTGTTGAGAATCCACTAAGAAATGCCATGCATCTTAGAGGGAACACTGATCACTACCATTGCATGCCCTTCCTCAGAACTGTGCTGAGGAGAACATCTCTGACTTTCAGATCTCAGCATAGGGATCGCTTACTTTACCAACCTAGAGCCATCTCTCCTGGATCTAGGAACCTCTCTCAGGCAATCTCTTGCTCTCCCTCATCCTGCCAGATATAAGCAGTACTGGGGCAGTCCCTGGTATTCTTATGGTTCCCCTCAATGGCTGTATTGGGATCCATGAGCTGCCTGTTAACAGTAGTTTTCAGGAGCTCCCAGCTACCTCTGTGAGGACCACCACTGCCAACTGTCTCTTGTTCTTTCTGTCCTTTCTCAACAACTTTAACCCCAGGAAGAGTCTGTTGAGAAGCAAAAGGCAAGAGCTGGTGAGGAGGTGACACCAAAAACTGATACTTCTCTGGCTGAGTGTCCCCTCCCTCCACAAACACCTGCTTTCAGACAGTTTCAAGAACTTATAAAGAAGGTGTTGAATCACTTCAGACCCCCAGAGGATGTCCAGAATCTCAGCATAAACTTTTAGACATTCTCTGCATGATAACTTCTGGTTGAGTGGCCTTGCTGGTGGATGAGAACTTACTTGAATGATACCATCTTACTTGAACCTGCCAAAATTATCTGACAGACTCCAGCCTTCATCTCGCCTGCATGTGAAAGAGCTGACAAAACATTACGTTCTAGTGAAAAATTCCAAATTTTTGTGTTTATGCCTTTTTCTTAATTTTTTTTGGTGGTTGATGCTGTGAATGAGTACAGCAGACATCCTTCCACATTGACGTACTATGATGAGGAAGGACCAAAAATACACACATTTTTGGTTACAAGACTACTCCTCCATCATGCTACCATAAAAGCTCCTAATGCTGAAGTGTAATTACATCAACTATAGCAAATATAATTTATTGAATATTTTTCCGCTTGGTACCTCAAAAATTGACTAGTGGAAGATGATCATCACAAAGGGTCAGCTCCTAACAAAGACCTTGTTACAGGCCACCTAGATGCAGAAAAAACAAAAAGGCATCCTTTAAAAAGCGGGAGTTAAATGCTGGTGAGGAAAATAGCATAAATTTTGGCAAAGTGTAAAAATATAGTTAGGAAGGCCAAAAAAGGAATGTGAAGAACACTGTCAAAGACTCATAGTAAAATATTTTACTATGTGAGAAGCAGGAAGTCTAGTAAATAACCAGCAGGGTCACTGGATGATCAAGGTTGCTAAAGGAGCACTCAAGGACAATGAGGCTATTGTGGAAAAACTACATTGAATTCTTCGAATCAGTCTTCACAGCTGAGGATGTAAGGGAATTCCCAGACCTGAGCTATTCTTTTTAGGTGACATGTTGAGGAACTGTCCCAGATTAAAATGTCAGTAGGGAAGATTTTGAAACAAATTGGTAAACAGACTAAACAGTAATAAGTCATCAGGACCAGATGCTATTCACCCAAAAGTTCTGAAGGAACTCGTATGTGAAATTACAAACTACAATTAGTAATTCTGTAACCTGTCATGTAAATCAGCTTGTATACCAAAAGAGTTATGGATAGCAAATGTGATGCCATTTTTAAAAATTGTACTCTAGTAGTGATCCCAGCAATTACAGGCTTCTGAGTTTGACTTCAGTACTGGGCAAACTGGTAACAACTGTGGTAAAGATCAGAATTGTCAGACACACAGATGAACATAATTTGTTGAGGTAGGGTCCACATGGTTTTTATAAATGGAAATCATGTATCACAAATCTACTAGAATTCTTTGGTGGGGGGGTCAACAAGCATGTAGAAAAGGGGTATTCAGTGGATATAGAGAATTTATATTTTCAGAAAGTCTTTGACAAAATCCCTCACCAAATTCTCTAAAGCAAAGTAAGCAGTCACGAGATAAATGGGAAAGTCCTTTTAGAGATTGATAACTGGTTAAAAGAAGGAAACAAAGGGTAGGAATAAATTGTCAGCTCTCAGAATGGAGAGAGGTAAATAGTGCTGACCCCCCAAGGATCTGGAACTAGACCTATTAAATGTAATCATAAATGATCTGGAAAAAGAGGTAAACAGTGAGGTGGCAAAATAGGCAGATGATACAAAACTACTCAAGAAACGTAAGTCCCAGGCAGACTGCAAAGAGCTACAAAAGCATCTCAGAAAACTTGAGTGGTGAGGCATCAAAATGGCAGATGAAATTCAAGGTTGATGAATGCAAAGTAATATATATTGTAAAACATAAAGCTAACTATTCATATAAAATGATGTCTAAATCAGCTGTTGCCACTCGAGAGAAATCTTGGAGTTACTGAGAATAGTTCTCTGAAAACATCCATTCAGTTCACCGTGGCAGTCAAAAAAGCAAACAGTGTTGAGAATCCACTAAGAAAGGGGATAGATAATAGGACACAAAACGATGTGTCTATATAAATCCATGGTAGACTCACATCTTGAATACTGTGTGCACATATGTTCACCCCATCTCTAAAAAGATAGATTGGAAAAGTTTCAGGAAAGGGGCAACAAATGATTAGGGGTATGGAACAGCTTCCATATGAGGAGAGAGTAATAAAAACTGGAACTTTTTAGCTTTGAAAAGAGAGGATTAAGGGGAGTCTAAAAATAACAGGTGTAGAGAAAGTAAATAAATAAGTATTAGTTACTCATAACACAAGAACTGAGAATCACCAAATGAAATTCCAGAAGGCTGGAAAAGGACAAATATAGTGCCTACCTATAAAAAGGGAAATAAGGACAACCCAGGAAATTACAGAGCAATTACAGGAAATTAACATCTGTGCCAGCAAAGATAATGGAGCAAATAATTGAGGAATCAATTTGCAAACATTGACAAGATAATATGGTGATAAATACTATGGATTTGTGAACAACAAATCATTTCAATCTAACCTGGTAGCTTTCTTTGACAGAGTAACAAGCCTTGTGGAGATGGGGTGGGGGTGGGGAATAGGATTATAATTGAAAATGATATGGATGAACTGGAGAAGTGGTCTGAGGTAAATAAGATGAAAATTCAATAAGGACAAATGCTAAGTACTCCACTTAGGAAGGAGCAATCAATTGCACCGATAAAAATAGGAAATTAACAAGTCCTGTAACATCCTAAATAGGGATGTAAGTAACTAGTAGATTACCCAATAAGCATATGTTTATCAGGTAGTCAAGTAGTGACTCAACTAGTCTATCCTCCCTCTCCCGGCTGCCTTTTTCAGAGAGAGGCAGTAGGGGGTGGGGAGGCACAGGAGCTGGTTCCTCCCAGCACCATCTCTGGGGGTGAGGGAAGAGGCAGAGCCGTAGCACAGGACCTGGTACAAGCTGGGAATCAGCTGTCCGGGCTCGCTCCTGGTTCCTTCTATTTGCTTGTTGGAACAGGATCCATACAGTTTGGTTTCTATGGCGTATTGAAAATTTCTCTTATCCTTCGTTTCTGGGCTTTCAGATGATTTAAAAATAAAGTTGTAAAAGTGATGCTTTATTAGTCTGTTTGAAAACTTCATAATTAGCAGTGAGGAACATAATATTAAATGTAATCCACAGATTGTGTGTGTTTGCTGCTGATTGTATGTGGAAGTAGAATATGACTGACTTCAAATAACTTGACTGTAGTCCTTGCCTAAAATTACCCATTGGAGTCTTGTGAATATATTCTAAATATGTCATCTGATGAACAGCACTGTTAAATATTTTATTTGCATGAGAATTGTTTGTGTAAGTTAACACTTGTCTTTCTCCTTTTCCTCAGAGAACCCAAGCTGCATTGCAAGCAGTGAATGCTGTGCAGTCTGGAACCCTAGCCCTTACAGGTGCACCTGCTACTGAGGGAGGACTCCTTCCAGGTCAAAGTTCTGTTCTCCGAATTATCGTTGAAAACCTTTTCTACCCTGTCACTTTGGAAGTGCTGTATCAGGTAAAGAGGTGTGGGGGGAGAAAAAACATTATTAAATACTATGGATAATACTAGTATAAATCTAATAACTTTTCCTAGAAATTGTGTTCAACTTGTGAGGATTGCCATACCCTCTTCTGCATCCTAAGCCTCAACCCAGAGCCAGCACTGCATATCCTCTCCTGCACCCAAGCCCCAGGTCTGAGCCCTCCCCCCCCGAGCCAGCACCCTTAACTTCCTTCTGCACCCCAAAACCCTGCCCCAGCATGTAGCCCTCCCCAGCATCTAAACTTTCCCAGAACTTGCACCTGTCACCCTCTCCTGCACTCCAGCCCTCAGCCCCAGAACCCAGAGCTCCCTCCCACACTACAAACTCCTTGGCCCCAGCCCAGAGCCTGCAATTCCCCCCTCCTCCACCCAATTCCAAATCCCTTCTCCCCTTAGTGATATTGAATGAGAGTAAGAAAGAGCTAGTTATGGAGGAGGTAGGGCTTTGGGGAAAGGGCGGAGCCTCAGGAAAGGGACAGAATAGATCCTGGATTAACCTCAAATTTAAAATGTCATTTTGGGCATAAAAAGTTTGGAGATCATGGCCTAGAGTTTCTTGTTTTGTGCTTTTACCAGAGGGATGATGGCTGTAGTGTAATGTACAAAACCTGACTCTGTTATGATATATTCGGCCCTTTCTTTTCATTCCAATGTTTAAAAGACTAATCTATGTTCTTGCCTCCATACTTGGTTATTGTAACCACCTGTGTATCACTGTTCATATTGCTGCTCTCCAGTTGGTTCAAGTTATTTTCCTCGTCTGTGGACCAGATAATTGTTGTCCCTTCTGAGTAGCAGTGTGGCCTTCTCCACAATCCAGTGTATATGTTTGTTTACTGTTCATGCTTTCAAGGCCCTGCACAATTCTGCTCGCATGTGGATCCTAGTCTTTTGTTGCATTTCTTCTTGCTGTTCATGTTCTTCCAAAAACATTAGCAGCCTCAACATACTTTTCCTTATTCCACTCCTCTTTGTGTTCTTGCATGCAAAATCGTACGCATGATATTCTGAAATTCTGTGTTTTTCCCCACATTCTCCTTAATCAGATCCCTGGCTTATAATAGCTTTTGTGTTACTGTAGTACTAAGGAGCCCCAGTCAGCAACCAGGACCCCATTAGACTAAATTCTGTACAAACACAAAACAAGAATGATGTTCTGCTTCAAGAAGCTTAAAACCTAACTATAAAACAAGAGACGACAAACAAATAGAGACAGATTTGGTGGGGAGTGGGGGGAAATAAGAAAAGCAGGAGACAGCATAGGTTGGCAGGATGGGCAAGTAGTCTCTTGTATGGATGTGAATGGGTAACTGGGTATCCAGTAAACATCGCCTTTACTAAGTGATTAACATGAGATGTTTAGAAGAGCCATTCAGTTATGGCCTGTAGAGTTCACCCTGGTTTCCTTTGACTTCTTTGAGCTGCCCTCTAAGACAGCTTATGAATCCCTTCTCTCAACTGATTGGTGAAACGCCACTTTTTTTTGAGTGCTTGTTTATGTCTCTTCCATTTTAAGTGTGTGTGCATGCCACATGCACTGGTACTGGAAAGTTTTTCCTCAGTAGTATCTGTAGGGGACCAGCTCAGGCACCCTCTGAAGTGATGCACATATGCGTCGGTATAAGGGGCACTACAGCCTTTCAATCCCTTAGTTTGTTTTTATCACCAGTGATGGTGCTGGAACATCTCCTTGCCTTGGTAAGCTTTCCCATCTCAGATATGTTAAGTTGTCGGTTCTCTTGCTCCCAGTCTACACAGTGGCATCGTTCTCAAAGCATGAGGCATCAATCACTGAGATACTATTGCCACTCCACTGAATGCCACCACCGATCACCAGAGTCGCAGCACAGGTCCCCAACAGAGACCTGCGGAAAGAGCTGATGGGAATGTGGTGAACATGCGGCCTTAGTCCCCCCAGTTAAATTTCTTTCTCCTCAGGCTCTTAACAGTAAGGAGGAAGATCTGTCCACAAAACAAGGCCACCCATGGGAGACATGGGCATTCCTTTTTGAGCCACCAGTAGCCTCAAAGCCCCCAGGCCAATGACCATCCTTTGGGTGGATTGAAATTTCTTATGTGCAAAACCAATATTGAGGCAGTGTGTGGATGTGCACTACCAACACGAACAAAACACATATAAAATTAATTTATATATTCAACAGTCCATATGTGTGGAAGAAACAAGGAATGTTTATAATACTTAATATGAAATCAAGTAAAAAAGAAAATTAACACTACCCTTGAAATACATGTATCATCAGGGCTCGACAATCTATGTAATCTACTCGCCTGTGGCGAGTAGATTACATCCCGGAAGAGCCGGGTTCGGGCAATCTGCGCATGCGCAGAACGCCGGACAGCGTGGCTGGCGAGCGGGGCTCAGCGAACCCTGTGTATCATCATCCTTTCTAACAGCTCAAGCTAGTCAACACAGTAAAATGCATATTAAACACACACAGCTCAGCTTTAAGATTCTAAACAAATTTGAGTCAACTAGAAATAGTATTTGCAAAGAGCATAATTAATACAATATTTACTGACACTGGAAAGGAGATTAAAAGGCATTTGCTAAGCTTATACACTGTCTGGGGATTGTTTAGGGTCTATGCTGTAAAAACAGATAAAAGTCCTTCTGGTTAGAAACTTTCACCTTGTGTGTGCCACCAACTCAGAGTTAGAAGCCCCAGAACAAATGGCGTCAGGGTTTGTAGAGGGATGATCATTTCAAAGAGCTTGTAAATAAGGTTTCATCCTACAAAACTAGTGCCACACCTCGTTCTTGCTACTTCTGACTCATAAGAGCCAGAAGTTTACCACATAGCAAAGATCTGGTCTTAGCACAATACAATTTACCGTGTAACACAGGATTTAAAAAAAAAGTCATTAAGTTCAGAGTTTGATATCTGCAACACCAAAAAAATCTGTTAAGATAAGAAAGAGAGAGATTATTTTAAGCCATTAACAGCAATGTAAGCAGTCATGTAGAACTTTAAAGACTAACAAAATAGTTTATTAGGTGATGAGTTTTTGTGGAGCAGACCTCCTGGCATACCCCTCCCCATTCAGCCTGTTTCCCTCCCTCTAACCAAGGCAGACAGGACTGCAGTAAGGAGGTCAGGACACCCCAAACAAACTGCCCCCCTTCCTCCACCTGACTGTATAGATGCCAGCATTTACCTACCCCCTTTCCTCTCCACCTACCCTATGCAGTCAGCCCCTTATTTCCCCCTTCCCAGCCTGGAGGGTTGAAGAGACTGCTGGGTTTCTGTTCCTCTGTCTTTCGCTCTCCTGGGCAGAAGGGACTCTCCAAACTCCCCTCTGGTTCTTCCCCTGTCCCCCAATTAATTTATTACTCCCTCTGTTCCCCCTGTCACTTATTCCTTGCTTATCTTGCCTGCTTATCTGCTCTAGGAGCTTTTCAATTCAAGCAAGTGTCAGCTCTATTTAGTTGCTGCTTAGCTTAAAGCCCTGCCCTCCGCCAGTCATCTGAGCTCCCTGCCTGTGTGGGGCTCAGAAAATAGCTGCGCAGTCATGCAGCTTAGAGGGAACATAGGTCCCAATTATTTATTTCCCGGTTTTAGATTTTCTCCAAGTTTGGAACTGTCTTGAAGATTATCACCTTCACAAAGAACAATCAGTTTCAGGCCTTGCTTCAGTATGCTGATCCAATGAATGCACATTATGCCAAAATGGTAAGTGTAAAGGTGTACATCCGATCTCTTTAGTCCAATATAAAATAAATTACAATAAATTCTTTATATGTAAATGGTTTTACTATTAACTGCACTAGTGTTAGGATTTCTTGACACTCGAGTAATGTTTAAATTTTCTTGCTGCTCAGAGTAGCTTTGGTTTTTCTAATTGTGTCATAAAGAATGACATGTTGACCCTTAGGACTTTTACTACTGATTCTGCGTTACTGGTCTTCAATAAGTCCACTTGTGTACCTGGTCTCAGATTAAGGTTAGTAGACTTCTAGTATTCCTTTTAGTTACAGGAAATGGATACTGGTGGTGGGAGGTGAGAAATTAAACCTGAGACAGCAAATTAAAGTTTAAAAGGGGAAGATGACTATTTGTTACGGCATGTGTATAAGTTTTCTTTCAAACCACTGTCCTTGTAATTACAAATCAGTACTGCTTTTCTACAAAAGTAGTTTAATTTTAGTGAAACTTCATGTTCCTTATAAATGTTGGCTCAAAGACCTGTAAATCTGGCATCTGTTTCCTTTTGGTACCATGCAACACCAGCAAGAATGGCCAGCTAATAAAATGAATGTGTTCAGGCTCTTGGGCCTCCTAGGTGAAAAATTAAAGGTGGCACCTCCCAAAACTGGAATTTTCTATCTGGACCATGGATGTTCCTGGATGAGAGAACCCCGGTAGCTTAGTGTCAGGAGAGAAATCCAGGAGGGACCAGGCTGAAGCAGAGGAATAGAAATGGGGCTGGAGCTGGGGGTAGCCCCCAGCAGCCCATAGCACTGGGGTTGGAGCCAGCAGCAGGATTGGGAAGCCCCCAATAGCCTGTGGCACTGGGACTGCATTGGGGCAGCCCCTAGCAGCGCAGGATTGGGCTGGCAACAACAGCCCATGGCCAGAGCTTGGGCAGCCCACAGAAGCAGGCCCAGAGCCTGCAGGTTGCTGTGGGGCTGGGAGCGGAGCACAAGCCATCAGTAGTCCCCAGCAGCCCAACCAGGGCCAGAGCCAGCCCCCAGCAGTGCGGGCTGCTAAAGCCCGGCAGGCAGTCTGACTGTGGCAGTGGCAGCGGGGCCAGCAACCCAGCAGGCAGCCCAGCAGGGGCTGGAGGTGGTCCCCCTGATCCTTCCCCCACTGAGTCCTTCGCTGGTCTGGCAAATTCCCTGGTTTGGGACCGGCCAGGACCCGAGGGTGCTGGATAACAGATGTCCAACTTGTAGTACGTTGCCTTCCCCAATCTTTCATCGTGAACCTGACAATGAATGCTAGAGGCCTGCATTTATTTTTTTGATGCAAAAAGAAATAATTTGCGGTTACTTAAATATTTTAAAATTGTTGAATTGATCCCCACTTCATATATTGCCTGCTGATTCCAAAATCTGTCTCTCTTCTTTTGAGTAACATCAGCATTTTAATGAGTAAAAAGAGAAGGAACAATGGGGAAAGTATATTTTGTTTCTATATACATCACGTTGGGTTTGCTGAAAAATACTAGACATGTTGCAAGTTTTGATGATCATAAGAGAGATTAACATTTAAAACAATTTCTAAATAAATTGAGACAATGTGGTAGTGAAATTTTATAGAAAATCCCACAAAACTGATGTTTTCGTATTTTCTTCCAGAGCTACCTATTTGGCTTCTAAATCTGCACAACCCTATATTTAATGTTCATTATAGTATTACATCACTATGTCGGGGAACAAAAGTGTGGACGTACTTAGTTTTTCAAATAAATGACCCATTAAAGTGGGAAAAAGTGATTATCTTAGTTTGGGATTGAGATCTGAACCTTCAAAATACAGAGAGGCGTAGACTTTTCGGATGGGTCCTTTGTGGGTTGTCATTATAAAAATTGAATGATTTCCCCCATTTTCCTGTCTCTCATTGTGAGCCTTACTTCACTGTATTTCTCGCATGTTGACCCTGCCATTGCTAAGATACAAGGTGCACAAACAAGATATGTAATAAATTAAGGAGAAGACAAAATAGCAATGGATACCATAGTGATAGTTTTCTATGAGAACAGACACCACTAGCTTTTTCTGCAATACAGCTATTTATTCCATTGAATTTCTAACATGAATAGTGGATTTGACTACTCGGGTAACCATGTTTAAGAAATTACAATGTAAACAAAGAAATAAGCATCCAAGATAAAAATTATAGCTTTTATTTTGAAGGAATGGATTCATTTCTGTAAAAGGCAGGAATGATGAATGAGAGGGAGTAGATGACTAAATATGCATAGTTTGGTAGAGTGGGTAATGTAATATCACAAAAGTAAATTCTGTGTCTGGCCTGAAACTTGCATCCTTGCCCTCATTTATTTGCTAGGCAAAATAGTTTGTCAGTAGACCTGTAATCATTTGCGGCTTGCTGGATTTTGAATTGTGATGTCAAGGTCAAATTTTATGGCTTGCATTATTTTTCCTGTTTAACTCTGATTTGGTAAGACTTAATATATTTTAAAGACTTTTAAATTTTAATCTGCTACAAAAACTTATCTAGTTCAGTATTTTTCTGTGTTGCTTTTGCTGCTATTATAGCAAATCATCACAATAATCATTCCAGTATCCCTCCTGAGTCAATCTCCTGGGCCATCAGAGCCCAAACACTGCTCATTTCTTTTGTTGGCAGAGGATATTATAATTGTAGAGCTCTGTGCAGATGCAAATGTCTATCCGTGGATGCAGATATCCACGGATAAACATCAGTATCCACTGATCGGCAAGGCTTAACTCCCAACAGACATGGTGGCCAATAGAGCGGAGTGTGGTCCCTTCACTCGTAGGAGCCAGCTCCCCACACTGGCAGCTCCTCCAGACCTTGCAGCTATACTGCCTCCAACTACACTGCCTCCAGCATCTACTTTCTGGGGCTGTACTGCTACTCTTGGGATGGGGTTTGTGGGGGCGGGGAACAGTGTAGCCACACAGCCAGGAAGAATTGCTGATACAATGGGGCCACACCGCTCTCCATTGACAGTAGTGTCTCTTGGGAGCAGAGCCCTGCAGATCAAAAGATTCTGATGTCTTTCTGCAGATATTTGCATCCACATTTGTATCTGTGCAGAGCTCTATAATGACGTGTTTGTAAACCATTCATGTTACCAGAATTTTGAATTCCATAGTACGTTGGCTGAGCAAAATCCCAGATCCTGTTGGGGAACAGTAATACATCAGTGTTCCTTCTAATTTGCCACACATTTGTAACCCCTCAGTTGAGTAAAAATGGAAAGTAGAGAACATCTTTTTCAGTTTCAAAAGTTCCTATGAGCAGCACACTCACTATGGGAGTTGGAACCTAGAATGTCATTCATTTAGAGTCCTTGTGAATATGGTAACCCTAGACTGGGCTCCGGAGGCCTTTGTTCTTAGAACGAATGGAGAAAGTTGAATAATTTTAGATTTTCTAAGTTTTTTTGCCTTTCCGAATCTGCTTGATACAGTCCTAGGGGTCTTCAGTCTCAGTCATAGTGATAAGCCGTGGCGAGCCTTGCTCGCCAGCCACGCGATTCAGCACCCTGCGCATGCACAAACTGCGCTGCGCATGCACTGATGATGCTGTGGCGCCGTGCCGGGCTATAATCTACTCGCCCGTGGTGAATAGCTTACCTAAATTGTCGAGCCCTGGTGATAAAGATTTGTGTAGAGAATATTTTTAGATACTTTTTTACCCACCTCTATAGGCCGCCTTTATTTCTCTGCCAACACACACAGCGGTATGGACACTTTTTTGCATGTGATGGGATCTTTGTTCAGAGCTGCTGAGAAGTTTTTTGTGCACTCCTTTAATTATGTAAGATCTTACATTGAATGTAGGGATGTAAGCAAGTAATTGACGACTCATTTGCTCTCACACTCCCTTGCTGCCTCTGTATCAGAGGCAGCAGGGAGGGGGAGGAGAGCAGAAGTTGGGGGTAAGAGGGGGACCGGCTTAAAAGCTGGTTCCCACCAGCACTGTTTCTGCGATGCTGCTTCCATTCCCCCTCTATTAGAGGCAGTGACATGGAAGGGCAGGTGAAGCTGCTGTGAAGTAGCCTCTGCAGGTCCAGGCTCACCACGGGTGGAGGCAGTGATCTGCTCCAGCAGCAGCCCCTGTCTGCGGAGTGGTCCCAGCTCCTCATTGGGACCTTCATGGACAGGAGCTGCTGGATCCGGTGCAAGCCGGGACTCATTAAGCCCTCCCTTATCTCCTAATCATGCAGTGGATAAAAATTGTATCAACTATACGACTAGTGAATTACCTGCCTCTTAACGTTATTAGTTGAATGCCCTCTCTGGTGCCTCCTGATACCCAAAAGGAGCCTTTGTCCTTAGTCCTAAAGGCGATTTTAAGGGTATCTAAGCAAGGAAAGAGAAGAAACTTCATGTTCTTTAAAGCAGGGCTCCCAGCTGTATGTTGGGGTATGTCTACATTGCATCCCTAGTTCGATCTAGGGATGCAAATGGAGACAATCAAACTAGTTAATGAAGCGGGGATTTAAATATCCCGCGCTCCATTAACATGATCTCGCCGGCGCGCTAGTTCGAATCACAGCTGATTCGAACCAGGAAGTGCGCGCCAGGACGCGTTAGTTCGGACTAAAGTGAGGAGTAACATTAGTTTAGATCTTCATGTTAATTTTTTAAGGTAATTGAGGAGTAACATTAGTTTAGATCTTCATGTTAATTTTTTAAGGTAATTGAGGAGTAACATTAGTTTAGATCTTCATGTTAATTTTTTAAGGTAATTGAGGAGTAACATTAGTTTAGATCTTCATGTTAATTTTTTAAGGTAATTGAGGAGTAACATTAGTTTAGATCTTCATGTTAATTTTTTAAGGTAATTGCATAGCTGAAAGAGAAAGTAGTACCAAATGAATTACTAAATGTGTAGACTTAATTTCAGGCAAATTTACAAACTGAATCATGTTCTTGTGTTTAATTTGTGTCCATAGTTCAGACATTATCAGACATTGTGCATGCACTTCATTTTAGGTAAAATGATTAGTCTTTACATTCTGAACTAAGCCTGGAATGTATTTATGCCCTGCCAGCATAGAGACCCTTTTTCCTTGCTTGAAGACCTTTTTGCATTGCTTTGGCAGTGTGGAATTACCACACTTCAAATGAGAATCTGACCTGAGAGATTAATGATCACCTGAAAATTCCATATTCTAGCCTAGTAGCCATTTTGTGGTGCCCTCTCTACTGCCTTCAAAAGTGAAAGAAGTTTTCAGTGCCAAGAGAATGTTCTATTTGGAAGTCAGATGTCTGGTACATTTATCAAGTTTGCTATAGATTTGCAGGCCATTATTCCTTTATGCATGTAACATAATCTGAAATCTTAACCAGTAATCTGTAGGAAATGTGTAGCCTCTGGTTGATTGATTTATTTTTTATGATGAGATATTCAGAGTATTCAGGTGTGCTTGTGCTGAAAAGATTTTGATGTTGCTTTAAAAGAGCATAATGAAGAGAAATTCAGAAGACAAACGGAATTCAGTTAATATATCCTTACTTAGTGGAGTGGTGGTAATTCTAGAATGCAACTAATTTATTGTCCTTGAGCCAACACCCACAAATTCCTGTGGTTGGTCTGTTCCAAAAAAGCCAAAATTTAATTTATAATTTAAGTAGGGAGAGTGTCCAAGGTTTAAGAGCATGAGTCTGTAGATTCATTTAAGGAGACCAGGCTCTGTAGCTAGGGACCATATAAGGCTTCATTCCCATGTGGAATGACACAGAGGGAGAACACCTAATAATCCTGTAAATTACACTAATATTCTAGAAAGTTTACATTAATATTCTTGAAAGTAAGGTCATTTGCTAAAGCTGAGAGTGGTGCAGTGGTCAATCTGAAATGGGCCAGTAATGTCTTAAAGGTTGCTCAAAAAACAACAAATAGTCTAGTAGCACCTTAAAGACTAACAAAACATACAGTTGGTATCATGCGCTTTCGTGGGCACAACCCACTTCACTTCTAGTACTCCCTGTCATCTGAAGATGTGGGTTGTGCCCATGAAAGCTCATGATACCATCTACATGTTTTGTTAGCCTGTAAGGTGCTACTAGACTGTTGTTTTTTAAGTTTTTCCTGTTACAGTCTAACTCGGCTACCCCTCTGAAGCTTTTAAAAGTTGTTGTAAGCGTGGATTTGTATTTGGGTAATAAGCCATTAAAAGTCGGTATGTGACTGGTAAATATGTTTTTCCTTTTTAAACTTTACAACCACTTTTTCTGTAGGCTCTGGATGGCCAGAATATCTACAATGCATGCTGCACTCTGCGGATTGATTTCTCCAAGTTAACAAGCCTTAATGTAAAATACAACAATGACAAAAGCAGAGACTTCACTCGCCTTGACCTTCCTTCTGGTGATGGCCAGCCTTCCCTTGATGCCACTATGGCCACCGCTTTTGGTAAGGAAACCTCTCTTCTAGGTAAATACAGTGGACCAAATAACACTGCTTTTTATGCATAAAAAACCAGAAGTGACAAGGAGTCCTGTAGCACCTTATAGACTAACAGATGTATTGGAGCATAAGCTTTCGTGGGCAAAGACCCACTTTGTCAGATGCATCTGACGAAGTGGATATTTGCCCACGAAAGCTCATGCTCCAATACATCTGTTAGTCCATAAGGTGCTACAGGACTCCTTGTCACTTCTGGTTTTTTATGTTGTACTGAATATCTTAAACTGAATGTGTTCAACCATACTTCAGACGTTTAATGCCAAAAGCTCTCCCCACCCAGGCATTCGGTGAACATAATTATTTACTCACTGCAGGGCAATATTTGCTTCATAATATTCCAAATGATCAGAAGTTGATCCAATAAAAGATATCTCACCCACCTTGTCTGTCTAGTATCCTGGAACGAACACTGCTACAACTGTTATGCATATAAGAATAAATACTGTGCATCAAAGGAACTAGAACACAAAATATACATTAATAAAGCTCTGGTTTAGACATTCAGAAAATGAAAATTTAGAGACTAGCCACTGAATGTTATATAAGCAACGAGGAATCCTGACAAATGTATTCGTTCATAAGCTTTCATGGGTTGAAGATCACTTCTTCAGATATGCTGCAGCGCAAGAAAGCTTATGCCCCAATAAATTTGATAGTCCTTAAGGTGCCACAGAACTCTGCATTGTTTTTGCTGAAATAGACTAACACGGCTGCCTCTCTGAATGTCACATGTTCGTAGTCTTCTATAGTAGCACGAGATGTGTATATTGTATTTCTCAATAGAAAATGCAAAAGCTATTTTTGTGCTCGGAGAGCAACAGTGAGCGCCACTTTCAGTAGCTTTTGGTGCCCCTTTACCGCAGATTAAAAGTGTAATCTTGCTTCTCACTGTTGTTTGTATATTTATGTTATCCTGTGTGTTGTGACTGAACTCCACTTCTTCTTTGTTTTTTGGCTTCCTAAAGAGGTCTTTTACATTTTATGACTGAGTAGGGGGGTTACATCTGTTATCAGTGGGATTTCTTTTCCCCCTGAAATTGCTGTAGTGAATCAGACTCCACATTCATCCAGTCATTATCTTTTCTCCAACTGTTGTCAGTGCCAGATGCTGTAGAGGGAGGTGTAAAAACCCCATATTAGTTATATGTGGTATCTGCCTCTGTAAGATCTTAACCTAGTCTCTTAATTAAAGATTGCCTTGAGAACACAAGGGGTAATATCCCTTCTAGCATTTATCATTATAATAATTTTCAATATTTTTGGTATCCACATAAATGTGCTCTTTAGAACTTGGTATGTTCTCTGCACGGTGGATTGATATAAATCAAGTTTTTCACTGATACTACGTCACAGTTCATCAAACAATGGTGCAAATCTGATCCCTGGAAAATGTTAATTTACAGCATAGTTGAGGATTTTATAGCATCTAAGAGGGTATACTTTTTTAGATAATTTGATTTTTACTAATTTAGGAAATAGTAATTTAGGAAATACTCATTGCCTCTGTCCAGCTGCAGCAGCAGTACATCGTGAATGAGGACTAAATCACATACACAGACACAATAGCACTAATGTTTTATTTAAACTAAATCTTAAATGTTACATACATGTTTCACATTTGCAATCAAAACAGTCTCTTAAGTTGCCAGCTGACGGCTCTACTTAAACTTTCTTTATTAACTGACCGGTCCTCAGAACACTAAGCGTATGATGTCCTTAAAACTTCTGTGACTAGCTCTTATCTTCCTCCCCATTTCCACTGTTATTTTGATGCAGATTGTATTCCAAGTTTTAAAAAAACAACCTAGGACTGTGCTAGGAGTGCACTTAATATTGGAAGAAGCCCCATTAAAAACAAGTATAGGATAGTTTTCCTTTGGGAAAGCTAAGCTATGCTGAAGTAAAATAGGGAATAGATTTATGGCATTATCATTATGGTCTGTGACCATAATGGTCCAAAGTAAGGGGCATGTATGATGTAATATAAAATAAGAAAATGACAGTGGCATTAGTGATCGTTAACTAGGTCTAGAATCTAATTAAACAAGCCGTAAGTATAGCTAAGTTAACTTTCTAGCAACATCAAACATAGAAAACAGCTTGGGAATTTACTTGTCAAATCACCCTAATATTGAAAGGCACAGAGAGAGTCTTGAAGAGTGATGCATTGCAAAGTTGATCCACATAGTTTTTCAGCCATATCCACATAGTCATCCATGTCGTTTTCTCCTAATAAGCAGTTTGTTTATGATTTTTTTATTCTTGCAGATAGGCACTGCATCATCTTGCGCTGTTTATACTTGACAGATTTTCCTTTTTTTACCCAGCGAGCGAATTTCTTCAAAATATTCCCGATATGGTGTCTTACACCTAGAATGCATGACAGTTATTCTGTGGCAAAAGTGTAGAGGAATATAAGAAACTTTTTGTGTGCTAATAGTGTTTTCACCTTTCCTATCCAGTCTATTCCCATGTTACTTTCTAGGCTGCCTCCATCCTTTCCTATATATTGTCTCTGTCTTCGGACAATAATTTTAGCTAACTGTGCTGTGCTTGGTCCCGGGCCACCATCACATAAACACAGAATAAAAGCCATCCTCTTCAACTTGTGTCTGTCTTTGCACACACTAATCTGCTGCGAAACAAAAATTGAAGACCCAGAACTCTCAGGAAGCAAGAGCTGGTTGTTAGGCTGAACAGGCTAGAGCCATTAATTCATTTTTATGAGACTGTAAATTTAGGTGTAGCATGTTCATAAGATTTAATTGTAATTGCTATTTTTAAATGAAAAATGTAATACTTATTTTTTTAAAAAAATCTGATTTAAATTTTAAAAAATCTGTTTTTTTAAAATCATTGGGTAACTATGCATTATGGGGGGAAAGTATTTCCATTTGATTTGGTTTGAATTTGCCATCTTTTAATTTTATTGAATGATCCCTAAGGAATGAGGTATGGAAGTAAATATTCCAAGTTGATATGTTTTTGAGAGAGGAGTGGGAAGGGGAAGGGATTGTGTATGGAAAAATAGTTGAAGTATTGGGATATGAGCTGCTTTGCTTACTGATTGGCTTTTATAAACTTAAACGGAAGGTGTGTTAAGTAGTTTAAGAATTTATTGTGAATAAAGGTAATAATTGAAAGATACTAGGAATTTTTGGAAAGATGTATAGATCATATTTAAGATATGTTCTAGCTATATACGCTTGTATTCCACATGGCTGCTTAACATTTACTACCGATTGCACCTCTAAAATCCAGTATTCTTTGGTTTGGCAACATTTGTGGTCTGGCATGACCACGGATGTTCCAGGATCAGAGAGTCCTGGTGTGCTGCAGGGGCGTGGGGGCCAGGGAGCTGGTGCATGGCTCATTTGCACTGCGAGGGGAGGAGCCAGGAGCTGGCACGCAGTTCATCTGGGCTGCAGGAGTAGGGGAGTGGGAGCTGGCATGTGTCTCAGCTGGACTGCAGGGGAGGAGGAAGCCTACGCACGGTTCAGCTGAGCTGTGAGGTGGGAGGAGGACAGGAGCCTGCATGAGGCCCATCTGGGCTGGTGGGGGTGGGGAGCTGGTGCACTACTCATCTGGGCGGAAGCGGGCACGCAGCTCAGCTGAGGGGGGCAGGGAGCTGGCGTGCAGTTCATCTGGGCTGCAGGAAGACCAGGACTCAGCGCATGGATCAGCTGGGCTGTGGCGGTAGCCAGGAATCCTGGTGGAGCAGGCCAGCAGCAGGGGTCTGAAATGACCTCCCCTGGTCCAGATAAATCCTTCTTTTGGTACCAGTCAGATCCCTAGGGTGCCAGACCAAGGAGGTCCAACCTATACATTGCAGTCATGGCAGCAGAGGAGACTCAAAGTTCCAATATAATGGTGGTTGTGCTGGTGGCATTGCTAATTTATTTAAACAACTTTAATGGTAATGTAAATTATGAAAAAAAAGGGATCTGACTAGCTGTCAGAGATGTTCATAGTGTAGCTCTCTAGTGTTTTGACAGCTATTTCCAGCTTTCTCAGCAACTAGCAGCTACAGCTGACAGGTGAGGTTTCTAGCTGTTGGATAGAGTCAAATGCTTCCTTGTTAAGTACAAAAATAAAATATATTTGTATGCTACAGTCCAACTGGTCAAAGTGCTACAAACGAGCATAGCTATCCCTCAGAGAATTATTTTAAGTCATCAGTGTGCTATCATGGTAAACTCTTGAGTGTCTCTCTGCTTAAGATCGTGACTTAAAACTCTGGGAAGTTGTTTTGAATCAGGTTTATCTAATTTGCCTTACAT